AACAAAAAGATTACAGATACAATCAATCGTTTGAAACCAGCATATATGTTATCAGAATGTATAAATTCACCTATAATTCCTTAGTTTCCACAGGAAGTCTGCAAAGACTCAAAAATTGTTCCAAAACAAGTAGTTACCCGCAGTGGACGTTGTGTTCATTTTCCTAAAAAATTAATTATTGTAATATGATTAAAGTTTTCTCTTGTGGTTTGCTGCAAATGTTACAATGTATAGATACTTGGAATAATTTTTTTTTTTTTTTTTTTTTTTTTTTTTTTTGCATACGTATTGAGAGTTCTATAAAATGCTTATTAACTTATCATTATTTCTGTTTAACTAAGTTATGCATTGTATGGGTATATACAGTCAAAAGTCGTTAATTCGGACACCCATAATCCGGAATGATCTATAATCTGGACCTCAAAGCTACAAACTTTCTGCGCATGCGCCGCGTTGACACATAGGCGTTTACACGTGCACGTAAGACCTTTACGGCTGCGAATTTGCGTGTGCGCATGCGCATAATATGTTTATGCATGTGCGTTTAATGTATAACGAATGGTATAAGTTAAGCTAAAATTATCTAATTCGGTTAATGTTGCAGATTGCGTTGTTCCTTAATCTTCGAATTGGATCCGGCTTATTATTTTTTGCAGACTGTTAGAGCAATTTTATAAAAGTAAGGTTGAACTTTCGATTATGTCAAATAGAATTTCCGATATATATTTACTAATATGTAAAAGATCAACAAAGCGAAAGTATGTTTCGAAGTCCACTAAACAGAAAGTGGAATTGCTGCAAAAAATGGATAAAGGCATATATCCTTTGATTATCTAATCATTCCAAAATATTTTTATCAATTTTACGCTGCTCTGCGGGGGGAGGGAAACGACGCAGCGCGCAATGAATTGGAAGTTGATCTGTCGGCACTATCCTTATCTTCAGGGCAGATGTTTTTATTTTATTTGGCTTATAATTCCTTACTAAGTGTAGTATTTCATCTCAATGTACTCTGTCTTTGATATGATTTAAATCAAGTTCCTCGTCATTATAATTCGCTTCGAATGGTGAAGAAAGTGACACAGAGGTTGTTGAAAACGAAAAAATTTCGATTGACAAATTAGTCAGTATTCTCGACACAGCAATTATAGGACTTGAACAGCGGAACTTTGTAACTAAACAAGAAATTATGTCTGTTTGATAGAATTAAAGAGAAAGTGTTATCACATGAAACGAAGCAACTTAAACAACTTACATTGAAAGAAATGTTTAATAAAGTAAACAAATATTAAGCTTTTCCTTTTTGTAAATTTTGATACCCTTTAGATCATAATTGTTCTTTATTTCATAAATTACGGTTTCATATTTTTAATTTTATAATTTTTGCATGCCATCTTACCAGATTTAAACTGATGATCTATAATCCGGAAAAACCGATAATCCGGAATCACCGAAGTCCCGATGAGTCCTGATTAACGACTTTTGACTGTATTCCAATCAGAATTGTCAATGTATTATTACTATTCATATATTTGTATTTCTTTTTGTATGTACAATTTTAAAGTATAACTGTTATTCGAATGTGCATATCTTAAATTGGAAATTTACAGCCAACTCCTTTTGTGTCGTGACTGTGTCACTGGGGGGATACTCTGTGGCAATCTAATGTCCAACTGCGTGCGCAGCCAATCTACGTCATGTGGTTTATGTAAAAACTGCTAGCGTGGCAGTGAACTAGCTCACTTCACCTATAGCCGGAGCATAGGATGTTTGAATTTTAGTTTAGTGGTTTTCTGTTATGTCGTTCTCGTTATGTTCATGTTAGTTGTTTAAAGTTATAGTGTGTGTGAATAAAAGTTATGTTTAAAGAAAAGGAATCATGTCAATTCAAGGATATACACCAAGCACATAACCTCCACGCCACCATAGTACCATAGCCAGACTGTTTATAGATGCAAAGTGTGTAATGTTGCTTTACATCATGATTGTAATCAAGCTTTTCATGCTTGAATCTTTCACTTGAAATAATCTGTATTTGTAAAAGAAATATAATGTATATTTTAATATTAAATTTATTACAAGTAAAGTGATTTGTAGAGTTATAAAACGTTATACAGCTAAAAAGTAATCTTGTGCTCCACTCAAAAGAAACATCACACGAGTACAATCCTACTCACTAAACACCCGTAGTCTTATTCCGCTGACGTTGCGCGAATGCAACACTCGCGTTTTCCACAGGTAAGAGCATTTTTTTTTTATTTTCAATGTAAATTTATGTTATAAATGCTTAATTTAATATTTGTTATTATTTTCATGAGAAAAGAAACATTCCTTGCAGTTTTGGCGGTTAATGGGTTAAGCTATTCCAGATATTAATATGTTCTTATAAAAAAAAACCTATTCTCATTAGTATAACATTAGTTAATACTAAATTCCAGTGAACAAAATATATTCTATGCATAAATGAATCACTGAATATGCTATTATGATGTAACCTTTTTTCTGCTATTCATGTCAAAAGCAATTTTTCAGCATGCTCTAATGTCTCTAATCTTTGTTTGGTAATCGATTTCACCCCCTTGGTAACGTTTATCGATTTAATACCATCTTAGTTTACATAATCGTAGACACCATCATACTTGGCATACAAAATCCTGGATAGGCATGCCATCTTCATACTTTCCAACAACCTCTTTTTTTCATCTCCATGTTGATTTCTAACAAATTTTATTCAATGTTTGACGCCTTTCATTTGAAAATTTATAGCATAGATTATTTACTGAATAGTTGTAGCATTGTCTCAAATTGAACAAGTGTACCGAGTGCAGTCATGACTCATCAAACTTTAATCATATTCCAGACAAATGTCATATATATACAAAACAAAAATGCAGTTGAAAAATGCCGGTTGGGCACCCAATTATTTGTAAAATGCTTTCTTGGCAATTGCTTTATATGATAATCAATGTAAGGAGGTGTGCCATCCTGCATGAAAATGAAGTCCTGAAGGCATCCACGTTGTTGAAGTTGTGGGATTACAAAACCTTCAGGATATCACAATACCATTGTCCTGTGATGGAATAGGTTTGAATTCCATTCCCAGCTATCTTTTAAAAAAAATATGGCCCAATGGTAACCATAAAACCACACCATACTGTCTCCTTTCCAGGATGCAAGGGTTGTTCCTAGATTGTGTGAAGGTTTTCTCCTGCTTGCATTCAACAGTTATGGTTATTAATTTAACCATTGAGGCAAAAATGAGCTTTGTCAGTCCTATGTTCCATGGCCAAGTGATGTCAACTGCCATTTGAGTGAGGAATTGAAGTGCAAAAGTTTTATGAACTTCTGAGTTCCTATCCTGCTGTAGGTGCACAGGCTTGATTTTGTAGGATAAAAATTCAAAATCTGTGGAAGATTTTTCATAGAGTGGAATATGGCATTTCCAATATGCAGGAAACAACTGGGGCATTCACACTGCTGTGCAATGACTGACTGCTGGCTTCAACAACCATGGTAGCCACATTTTTGGCGCTAGAAGACTGGATTTGCCTTTATCTTCTACCTGGAAGAATGCCAAGTTGCTCAATTGTTTCAAATTTCTTTATTATCTTGCTTGGCACATGGAAACATTGGATGTCTTCATATCTACTTCATAGTATGGAATTTTTTTACATCAGCACAGGAGTTCTGCTGCGGTCGCCGGTGACCCCCATGACGAAAACTGCTTCAAGCACGATTTTATAACTCATTTTACCTGCTGCAAATAATATTTCAGAATAATATGCATCACATAATGAAAAGTTCACGTTGACGCCTTGGGCAAACCATCAAAAATGCATCTGGCAGTCAGCATGTTACTAATGTAAAATATACCAGAATGGTAGTTATTATGAACATAATGAACCATAATTGTAATTAATAAATTATGCTTCTGTTACTATGCATTTTGTAGCTCACAATGAAGTTGTTATATGTATAGTACCTAATGGTAAGTTATTAGCACTTTCATTCTTTGGAAATATATAATTTCTGCTTATTTCTTATCTTTAGTTTGTTACGAGTGCTTCATAAATATGAGTATTTTGCTTGCATTCTGATATATCTTCCCATTTTTTATCTAATAAATGCTCAAAAGAATTTTAAATAGTTAAAAGTTTAATGTAAGTTTCTGCTGAGTAGTTTTTGTGACTTATGAAAACAATTATTTCCTTATATATTTTATAATTGTTATTTATAATTAATAAATATACAACATAGAGAAAAACAAAAAGGAGATTGCTCTATTTAGCATGTTTTATCTCTTATGAAGCTTTATATTTTGGTGACTTTTACAAAGGAGAGAGACTTCTTTTTTTTAATATAAATACTATGTTTATTTTGAAGTATTTACTTTTTTATTTATTCAGATTATAGATCGTGAGATATAAATATTTGAATATGAAATCTTTATGTTCCAGTTTCAAAAGATTATATTTTCTTTAAAAAAAGAGAGTCCAGATTTTACATTATTTATGTCTAGATCAGATGAATAATATGAAATCTTGAGAAATTATAATCTATTTGTTTTAATGCTGAATTAATTTCAAACATTGACATAAATATAGAGGCCTTTTATTAAATACCTTGTTCCATCTGATATTTAGATATCATCAAAATGTTTTTTGAGTAATTTTTTTAGATTTTTAATAAAGTGATACTTATTTAAAATATTTTTCATCATTTAGTTTTGTGGGCATCATCAAATTATCAAGTTATAATATTTTGACAATTATGAAAAGTTGCATATATTTATATAATTTCTGAGCCCATTTGAGAATTTACATGTATTGGTGAAATAAAAATATATGCAGATGATTAATGTTAGAATTGGTAATATATGTAAGTAATGTGTTGTTCTTTGATTTTGCTGTGATTTTTCCTGTGTTGTTTGAAATTTTATCTTTATACTGTTTGGAATTGTCTTATGTAGTTCTTATATGGAATGTTATTTTTTATCTTAGTTTATGAACCTGATGAATGGGAAGTTCCAAGAGAAAAAATTGCTTTGATTCAGGAATTGGGTCAAGGATCTTTTGGTATGGTGTACAAAGGGGAATTTAAAACTGATGATAAAGGAGTTCTGAAATGTGCTGTCAAGGTTAGTAAAAATTCTTGAAAATAATAAACTCAGGCTTCATTTTATTGTAATATACTTTTAACTTAATTTTTCCATATATTTTCATGTTTTTTCAAGTTATGTGTGAATGCCTTAATAAAAAAATAGTAGCTGTTGATGGAATTCCCCTATAAAATGCCTTCTAATAAAAGTAAATGAACTCAATTTATCAGTAATAAATAGGATATAAAGAACCAGATTAAGTTATTTATCTGAACCTAGCAATAAGATAATTAAATTAGCTTTCTGTGCCATACGATAATGTTATCTAGTGGAATTTAGAATTTATCAATTAATAATTATGTTATCAAAACAGTCAGTTGACATTCAAATTCAATAATTTCCAAAGCTCAAATGGAACCATTAACCTAATTAATAATAACCAGGTAGACAACAAACAAAACAGCTCAATTCAAGAACTATGAAATAAAAAAAATAAAATAATACAATAATTTGCATTGTATTTTTAAAGCCAAACAACTCAAAAAAGTAAGATCTAAGGTGGCACAGGAACACAAGTAATAAAACAAACATATAATTTAATTATAAAAAATTCTATGATGTATTAAGCTTTAAAAGATTTTAATCGGTTGCAAAACAAAATTTCAATGTCCATAATTACTGGATTAAAGTAAGAGCAAGTTGTGACAGTAAATCATTATTACCATTTACTATCATCTAGTAATGCATTAAGTTGTTATAAGGTTAGTTAACATAAATTCTATTACACTATTTCAACTAATGAAAAATAATAAAAATATTGCTCCAATAAAAATATATTGCACATTTCATTTATATAAGACAACTAATCAACTTTACTAAGCAATTCTACATTCAGATGGATTAACACACCCGAGCTAATTTAATTTTAATAATTATTTTCTTGCTTGGGGAGGAAAGAAAAATTTAACTCATTTACTAAAAAAAATAATTATTTACATAATTTCTCTGCGCAGCTAAACATCAGTTAAATTAAATTTAAGATATAGATTTCTTAAGCACTATAATGGTACAATTAAAAGAAAAACATACCTGAGTCCTAATTTGTTCTGAAAGCACAATCAGAAATTTAAGAAGAAAGGGGCACTTAGCTGCACTGTAGTCTGTAGACACATTCAGCAAACAAATATAACAGAGGGCCTGTGATGATTTATCTAAGTGGATGTAGAGCTAAGGTGGGATGTAATATATGGCAGTTGATTATGCATCTTTCATATGGGATTCATACAGGTCTAGCACTAGCTGGATTCAGATGAAGAGAGATGGAGAACATGACGGAGAATGGGCGACAGGAAACCTAAAGGAAGACATCTAAGGCCAGATCTTGATATCAGCCAACTTCCCTGAACTGGATGCAGCTCAAGGAAAACATTGAAGCCTATGATGGCAGTCCATGGTCAAACACACAGGAAAGGAGTAGAAGAAATTCAACGGCATACCATCTGGATTAGGATACTTTTTAGCTATGAAGGCATGAATAATGGTAATAACATAGTGAAGGGCTCAAGTTTCCAAACCAGGACAAAGTTATCAGCCTCCCAGTATCCAATTAACCATATTATGTAATCATTGAAGTTGCAAGCTCACAAACCCATGAGGAGCAGCACAAAAAATTTAAAGAATTAAAGTCAAGAAAAAAAGAGCCTCTTGCAAGAGTGCACCTCCGTTTTAAACCACACAGACACCACGTTCCTGCAAAATCCCCAAAATCAGGGAGAAAAAATGTTCATCAACACTAAGAATAAACACTACTAAAAAATTTCACTTTTTCCAAGCAATATTTAAAAATAGTTCAACCAACCTTCACCCCATCACCAAGTTGACCATGAAAAGGAACAGCAACCCTTTTTGTGCAAAACTACCCCTCAGACAGAACAGGAAGTAAGGCCACCTTGAAGGGAAGAAGCTTAAAAAAAGTGACTTTTTGAGCCAGTAAGAAATTATCCCAAATCTGATGAAATAATCACTTAATTGAGCATAACTCCTGATATACTTAATGTAACTTAATAAAAGTAGATTCAATAGAAAGGCAAAATTTTTCTGCATAAGTTGTAAAAATTTCAAATGAAGGCAACAGTATTTAGTATTTTAGATTACAATAATACTCAGAAATTTAACTTGCCATTGTCTCTCTGACTGAACTAAACGTCAAAAATTGAAAATCTTGACTTTAAAACTTTCTTACGATAAAAACCAATAAACAAATGAATAACAAGTACCTTTAATTAAAGAACATAGTAGTTGTCTAGTCAAAATTTGGAATAATTAATATAAAGTTTAATTAATTATAAATAATTTAATTCACTACACCAGTGTTTCTCAACATCCGGTCCACAAACACTATTCGGCGGACCTTCCAAATTCAGAAGTATTATGACAATATACCTACCGTTGTTTACAAAAGAAAATAATTAAAATCTGACATGCATACAGCGCAATGCATTATCTCAAGCTTTCTCAACGTGTTTGTTTAATTTATGTTAATTCGTATTAGGAGACCTATTGTTATGCCATGAACGTGTATTTGTGGGTAACGAGTACTCTAAACAAGACGTATTAGTTTTGAGTGGAGAAATGCTTATTATTTTTTGAAGGTCTGTTGAATAATGGCAGCTGTATTATTAGTGTAATAAATAGAACGAACTTCTTTAAATAATTTTATTTATAAGAAAACAGAAGTTAAGAAAATGACAAAATTTTTTAACCAAATTCAATTGTTATTATGAATTTCGATTATTTCAGCTGTTGCCACTTGAGCAAAGAAAATTGATGTAAAGAGGTAGCAAATTTTGTGCAAATTTATCGTTTGTTACATCAGGAATTTTTTTTTTTTTTTCTAACTAGACGGAGAGCTCACAGCACAGAAAGGGTTACAGTAATTCTAGAAGGCAGAAAAGTCCATCGGTGTAAATGAAGCGGGTGTGAAATGTGACAAACATTGAGAGGCATAGGTTGGGTTCACTGCAGAATGCTGTACACAACCGGGTACCTGATCCGCAGGCCCTACCCCTATTGAACAAGAATTGGGTATTTCCTAATTATTAATTCATAACAACTTAAAAGTTTGTGGAGAACTCTTTATTATTATTATTATTTGTCCACTGGCCCAAGAGAGGGCGCTACCAGCTTTCTCCCTCTTCTCTTCTAGGGAAAAATTTGGACTGGTTACTCTTTTCCTGGCTGCCGTCGGTGAAGCACGCGCTCACCTCTCTTCTGCTTCACTTTCATGATTTTTTAAACTATGTGGACTTGCTAACTATAAAAATGCTTATCGTGCGAACTGTAATCAATGTGACTGTGTATCAGTGAATGTGTGTTAAAATATATACCTTTTCCTAGTATTAAATAAAAATGTTAAAAATCATCGAGCTAAGCTATCATCGTTTTATCTGCAGCAACTCAAAAATGGCATCCATAGATGAAAGCCATAAATGATGACCCATCAAGTTAGTGAACACGTGACTCCTGAAACCTGCGTGCATCATCAATTTCTGTGCTCATAAAGTGCTGTGAAGTGAAAATATCGTCTGTTAATGCAGACAAATATCGTAATCCATCATTATTTTTGTGTTATCGTCAAAATAGTGTGAAAAACAGTTGTGTCTCCTTAACAACGTGCTTATGAATGTGCCTCATGCAAAACGTCAAAGTGCTTAGAAGTGATTTACATATATATCCTACAACATAGTTACATATCACAAAATAAGTTTTTTGGAATATTTTTCTATAACTGAATTGTGTTATGCTGACTGAGCAAATATTTCTCGTACAATTCGGAGGTAAGCTACGCAAATTCTTAGTTAGTAGTACTTTAAAACTTATGCTTATATTCAGATAGCACACCTACGAAAAGTATTTTTGTCAACTTGGTGCTTGCATTAACTTTATTTATTTTGCACTAGTATCGTATGTGAACTTATTAGTGACTGATTTTTGTGTATTTATTTATCTCACATTTGGCAATATATATATGTTTTTGTGAATCATGGCTCCACCACAAACCATCGCAAACGATCTTAATATCTCATGTGTTTCCATCAAGCCTCCCCCATTTTGGAAGGTCAAACCCACTTTATGGTTTGCACAACTGGAGGCCTAGTTTGATATCATCGGAATCATTGTTGAAATCACGAAATTTAATCATGTGATATCTGCAATCGAATCCGATATTCTCAATAGCGTTTGTGATATTGTTTTGCACCCACCAGTGACTGGCAAATATGATGCACTAAAAACATGCTTAATTGAATTGCATTCTGAAAGTGAGGAGTCAAAGATCCGTACACTTCTTTAGAGGCTGGAACTTGGCCCTTCACAATTACTTTGCCGTATGCAAAACCTCGCTGGAGAGACCGTTGGAGAACCCTTGTTGAAATCTCTATGGATATCCCATCTCCCGCAAAATACACAGAGTATTCTTGTTGCCTTAAGTGATAAGCTCCCAAAACTCGCAGCTGTAGCTGATAAAATTACAGATCTCACAACTCTCCTTAACATAAATAGTGCTGTTACGGCATCTACTTCTCCCATTGAACAGCAAGTTGCAGAGCTGACGAAGCAAGTAAATAAACTTTTGCTAGCCATCAAAAACAGCTGTGAGCGTTCCTGTGAATGAAGAGACAATCATTTCCAATGCAACTGAAGGCGTAATAGATCCAGTGGACACTCTCGCCAGTATAAAGAACTGTGCAATAACATTTGTTTTTACCATACTAATTTTGGTTCCAATGCACGGAAGTGTGTTTCTCCATGCAATTTTCGGCAGTCGGAAAACTAGATCGGCGGTCGCTTGTCGGCCAACGTTGCGACCACCACATTAATCGAATTCTTTTGGCCGATCCATCGTCAAAACTCACCTTTTTAATTGACACTGGAGCCGATTTATCTGTCATTCTCAAGAGTTACAGTCAGCATGCCAAAAACCCAGCTGACTTAGTACCAAAAACCCAGCTGACTCTTTGCCGCTAACAGTACCAAAATAG